CAATGTGTGTAACACCATTGTGCATGGTTTATTCGATCAGATAATCAAATTGCCATAAATACTCAAAATGAAGTCGACTATTGTGCAATATGTCAGTCATTTATGTGCAATTGTACAACACAATTGTGCATTGTTTATACTATCAGTTAACCAAATTATCATAAATACTCAAAATAATTTATTATTTACGTTATAAAAATAAAATCAGTATTTAGATATTTGTATTTAATATCTTATATATCTTTTGTTTGTTGAAAGTAAATATTATATTTTATATCAAAAATATAAAAAAATATTATACTATTATGTTGTTTTGAAAAAAAAATGAATGTCGATATCGAACCGAAATTTTTAATGTAGAAAAGATATTCGAAAACTGAAAATTTTAGTTCGATCGGTTTATTCTGGGCCCCTGTTAGCCCGAAGACAGACTTTGTATTGTTATTTATTTATTGTTTTGCTTGTGAGACTCTGTAGACTGTAGACTGTTGATATTTTGGGCCCCCGTTTTAGGGTCCAGATCTATGCACAGGTTGGGATCCAGCCCAATCCCCCGTCTTTCCGGGGCGTTGTTTGTTTAAAAAAAAATCTAACAACTAGAGAGAACTAACCTAGCAACTACAGACAACTAACCTAGCAACTACTGACAACTAACCTAGCAATTACAGAGAACTAGCCTAGCAACTACATAGAACTAACCTAGTTGGAAGGTTAGTTGTCAACGGTCAACACCGAAAGTCAACGGTCAACGTCGGAGTCAACGGGTCAAAATAATAATTAAAATAATAAAAATAAAAGAGCAAATCTTGGCCACACATGATGTACCAAATCTTGTGGCTAAAAATGAGTCTCATGTCCTCACTTTAAATAAGTGGATGCATTGGAACCAATCCCTATATATATAATTCGTGAATGTGCTGAAAGGAGAAAAGGATAGACTAAGAAATAAATAAAATTTTTGGCAAGCTTTCACAAGTTAGCTTTCAGGATATCGTTTTATATATAATTCGTAAATGTGCTGAGTCTAAGTAGCATGCTCATATGTTTCGGGATCCTATGTGGCAAAATTATATGCTTCATTATGACTTGGATAGATTATAATTTACGTCGAATAAAAATAATTAGGTTTGGATTATCCATAAATATGTTCATCATTATCTATGGTCATGTTACATGTATTAATTGCATTTTTGTATCATTTTTTCTTATAACCAATGAATTGTAAATGTATCAAATTAACCATCACTTAATGAGCTTCGATTTGACATCCATATTGTATGTATAAAATAAATAAATTATATTTATCCGTATAACAATAATAAAATTATTTGTCCATATTAATTAAAAAAATAAAATTATTTATCAATTAATATATTTATGTTTCAAGTAGTTATATGATATAAGTTATAAAAATTATTATAATACAATATATGTAAGTCGTTTTTCAAGTAGTTATATGATATAAATTAGAAAAATTATTATAATATAACATATGTAAGTCGTACAAGTAACAAGTGTCATTAAAATATATAATAATATATATTTTTTGTGAAAAAGTATTTAAATTTTAAAACACTTTTTCTCATTAATTTAAAAATTTAAAAATAAATTTTTTAATAAGGACCCGTGTAACACAAGGTGTGTTGTAGTAGTACATACATAAATCACGGGTTTATTGCACCAAATCCCCCTGTATTATATTAAATCTGCTCGTTTTCCCCTACTATTTCAAAAATTGCGTCAAACCCCCTTGTATTTAATGTTTACATACATACTCGCCATTTTATGTTAACGCCGTTACTTTAATGTTGATGGCGTTACTTTTTCGTTCAATTTACGATTATACCCTTGCTTTATGAATGAAGTACGCTTATACCCTTGCTGTCAATATATAGACTTAAAAATTAAAAGGGTTTATTGCACTAAATCCCCCTGTATTATATGAAATCTGCGCATTTTTCCCTGGTATTTCAAAAATTGCGTCAAACCCCCCTGTATTTAATGTTTCAATGCACACTCTCCCTTGTAAGTTAACGGCATGACTTTTAATGCTGACGGCGTTACTTTTAGCTGAAATTACTATTATACCTTTACTTTATCCTTGAATTTACCATTATACCCTTATTATCATATATGATGACTTAAAAATAAAATCCCAAAGGTGGGGATTGAACCCACTACCTTTGGGTTATAAAAAGCCACCTTCACCAACTAGGCTACTTGGTGTTTTCTTATTAATGTGACTTTGTTTATTTATATCATAATATATAGCGGAACTAATATAATAATTAAGTATATGGATTCTAATTTATAAATAATATAATAATTAAGAATATAGATTCTAAATTAGTATATAGATTATAAATTATAAATAATATAATTAAATATTTAGATATAAATAATATTATAATTAAATATTTTTTAATTATAAATAATATAATAATTAAGTAAAAAGATTTTAAATTACAAATAATATAATAACTAATATAATAATTTGGTATATAGATTCTGTATATAAATAATGTAATGGTTAAATAAACATACTCTAAATTATAAATAATATAGTGAATGAATAAATAGATTCTATATTCTAAACTATAAATGATAAAATAATTAAGAAAATAATTTATAAATTATAAATAATATAATAATTAAGTAAGTAGATTATAAATTACTAATATATAATAATTAAATAAATATATTCTAGAGTACAAAATATAATAATTGATTAAATCTATTGTAAATTACTAATATGTAATAATTAAATAAATATATTATAAATTATAAATGTTCTATATTATAAATTATATAATAATTAATAAAATATATTATAAATTTTAGAATAATATAATATATAAATAAATAGATTTTGTAATAATTTAATAAACAAATTCAAGATTATAAATAATATAATAATTAAATAAAATTATCTAAATTATAAATAATATAATGATGGATATAAATTATAAGTAATATTATAATTCAGTATATATATTTTATAATAATTGAATAAATAGATTCTAAATTATTAATAATATATTAGAATCTATTTACTCAATTATTACAAAATATAAATATTGAAGTATTATATTACTTATAATTTATAATTATCATTATAATATGTATATTTAAGTAATTATATTCTAAATTATAAATATTTTATTAAATGAATAAGTTAGATTCTAGATATAAATGATATAATAATTATGTGAATTTATTCAAAAATTATAAATAATACAATAATTAAATAAAAAGATTCTAAATTACAAATAAGGTTAAAATTTTTATAAAGGATTATATTTATTCATATTTAAAAATAACTAAAATAATATACACTTATTTATAATATTTAAAGCTCATAATAAAGGATACTTGATACTTTAATTAATTTTTTTTAAATTATTAATATTATTTTTTATTTATTATATATTTACCAAAAATTTAAAATAAATAAACAGAATAAATAATAGTACTTAAATTATTTATAACAAATTCAAAATTAATAATTTTATTGAAAAAAATAAAAATTATATATTTATCGAACATTTAAAAAATATAAAATAATATAAAAATTATATAAAATACATATATACAAAACATATATAATTATAGATTAAAATATTTTATTTACAAATTACTACTTTAATAATATATTATATATAGAATTATCATTTTATTTTATTATAAATAAATTTAATTTCACTTAATTTAATTTAGTTTAATTTTATTTATATATATTATATTACCTCAATTCATAAAAACGTATATTTAAAATTCATATCAAAATTTATTTTATAGTTATATTTATTAATTTATTAAAATTAAATTATTATTTTATTTTTATATTAAATAGTAATATATTAATTAATTATTTTTAATTTTCATATTTTATTTTTATTATATTTTATTTTAATTATATTTTCTGTTGTTTCTTTATCTTGTGATTGTTTTATTTTTTTAATTTTTGTTTGATTAGTTTTCTTGTGTTATGTAGTTTTAAATAAATGTGTGTTATATATTTACCAAAGAATAATGGTGGTATAGTGGTGGAAGCCTTGTCCATTGAAGTTTTGGCCCAAGATCGAATCTCAGGAGTAGCAATTTTTGCATAATAATGAGTAGAAAAGTAGGGGCAAAATAGTAAATTTTAGTTTTAAAATAAATTTTTAAATATTATTTTAATTAATACAAGCGGATCTGAGGGAATCGTGCAACAGTTAGTTAATACAAGCGGATCTGATACAATTTTTAAAATAAGCGGATCTGAGGGAATCGTGCAACAGTTAGTTAATACAAGCGGATCTAATACAATTTTTAAAATAAGCGGATCTGAGGGAATCGTGCAACAGTTAGTTAATACAAGCGGATCTGATACAATTTTTAAAATATCAAGATCAGGAGAAAACACGGGAATCGTGCAACAGTTAGTTAATACAAGCGGATCTGATACAATTTTTAAAATATCAAGATCAGGAGAAAACACGCAGATTTTCTATGACACAGGGAGTCCTGTGTATTTTACCCCCTAAATCACACACAATCATATTTTTACTGCTTCATATTCGATTGAGTCATGTGCTAAGGGCATGCTTGTTTACAAATTAATTCATTTTCAATCCAATTCATACTCAAAATCTAACTCAACTTTAACTTAACCCCATTATCTTTAATATTATTCATTTAATTAAATAATACAAACCAATCATCCTTACACATCACATCAACTTTAATTCACTATTCATCCACTCACATATTTTTAACTACCTATCATTTCTAATAATTTCCAATCATTTATCTCCTACTTTTACATCAAATTAATTTTAATCATTTTATTTTAAATATTATTTTAATACATTCTTAAAATTCCACTAACACATATTATTTTTTTTTAAAATTAACTCTAGTTAACCAAAATAACTCATTTTGAATGAAATATTTCATAAACAAGCGCCCCTAAGTTCTCCGTGGACTCTTCAGTCTGTCAAAACTCATTAACTACTGTTTTAGGTAAAAAAAAATGTTGGTGGAAAGTTCAACTGCGTTTCGTATCAAAGTTTTGTACGCTTCCTCATGTCACTTTCTTGGTGTGTAATTTGGAATGGTGGTGACAATTAGGAATCCCATGGTTTGCGGTTTTCTATTTGTGTACCCTTTTTTATAATTACATTTTTTGTTTAAATCAACACGAATCGTACAGTTTGGTGTTAGTTTACTAGCTTTGTTAATTCAATCCATGGTTAAAAGGAATTAGTATCTGGAGATTTTTCCCTTTTCACTTTGCACCTTTTTTCACTGATTGCCCTCACCTGTAGAAGAAAGGTCGTGCCTTTACATGTTCTGCAAAAGCCACTCCTTCTGGAAAAGTTAGATTTTGTGGTGAAGTGTTTTTTTTTTCTTTCTTTTTTTTTCGTTTTGGAATTTTCACTGGGCACAAACGAACAAAATAGGATAAAAGCAGCGGGACTGTAAAAAGTTGGGTATAATTTGTTGTGTGGGCTCTGTGGTGGTGAAAACTGGCGATAGCAAAATAAGGGCTTTTGGGTTTTGGGAAAAGCTGTAGGGATGAGTATGAGATGTTGGCGTGGCCATTTGAACAGTGTTATTTTCCGTATTATACTTTCTTTAGCTTGTCTTCTTCTTATCTTGGTAATTGCTACCTATTCTTGTGGTCTTTTTCACATCCCCTCATTTCTCTGTCCTTTTGCTTTCACTTGAGTTTCACTCTGGTGCCATTTGTTGATATTTTTTGGGTAATTTCACACGGTTTAACCAAAAACCTGTTTCACCTGTGTGCATTTTTTCACAAGAAGGCCCACTCTTGAATTGTGAGACAAAAAATCTGAATTAAAATTTTGCTCATCTGTTTCTTAGGTGATATTTATTGCTGCTACTACCTGGGTTTAACTATTTTACTCTGCCATCTGTAGAATCTCTCTGCTCTAAATCCCCAATTCTCAAGAATACCGGGTCAAACTTATTTCTCTTTTTTATATTTTCACTCATAGGAGATTTTATCTGCTTCTTCTGTATTTAGCACAAAGAACAGATGGCGGCCGATGAATCTAGTAGCTCTGTGTGGAGTAGAGAGCAAGACAAGCAATTCGAAAAAGCAATAGCTACTTATCCAGAAGCCTCGGCTGATAGATGGGAGAAAATTGCAGAGGAGGTTTGTGGGAAATCGGTGGAGGAGATTAAGGAGCACTATGAGCTCCTAGTCGATGATGTCAGCCGGATAGAATCGGGTTTCGTGCAAGTCCCGTGTTACAATACTTCCTCGGATGGTTCAACCGGTGATGAGGTGGCAACAGGCAGTTTTGGACAGTCGAGCAAGGCCTCGAGGTCGGATCAAGAGCGGCGTAAGGGGATTGCGTGGACCGAGGATGAACACAGGTGAAAACAAAGTTTTCTTCTTCATTCATTATAATATTTACTAATCTGGATTAGGGGGGCCATGTATCTGATATTTTATGAAACTATTGATTAATTAATTGGTTTTAGGCAGTTAATGTTGATTAATTAATTAATTAATTTAATGATACCCATGATATCACCTTTCCATGTCAATTATTGTCTCTGTCTAAAGCCTCAAAAGTATTGAACTTCTGCTAGTCCTGTTGGTAGATGGCTATTATTATTATTTATTATTATTATTTTTTGGGTTAAAAATTAGCTTTTCGATTGACTTTTGAGTGGGAGTTCATTATTGGAGGCTGTGTTTATAATTAGGCTAGACATTGAGGTTTTTGTGTGAATGAAACTCTTAGAATAGTTGTTAAAGTTTTTAAACAATTTTGTTTTAGACAATCTCTATTGTGCTTTGCTACTGCACTTGAAAGTCTGTGGGCATGTGCAGATTCTGTTATACGCCTATATTTTCATCTTATCCCTGCTAAGTTCAGTGCCCCATACATTTTTAACTGCAGTTTGCAACACTTACCAGAATTTGGCCAAGTGTCTTGCAGTTGATGGAGATTGATTTTTGCTTTCAAAATTAGAATTATCTGGGAAATTCCAGAACAGTGTAGATACTTGTGGAAGAGTCTTGTACATACTAAGATAGGCCTAGAATCTTGTAAAATAGATGGGGCTAGATTTATGAAGAGTGATCTAGAGAACACCTCACGTCTTGAACATTGTAGCACTTTCTAGACCACTCTATTATAGGAATTTTCTATACTGATAAAAACCAATTAAGAAAACCCGAGGTAAGTCCTAGTATGTTTCGTTTGAGGTGAAGAGTTTCTAAATCTTTTCGAACACATGACATCCACGAACAGGGAGCCCCTCGTTTTACCATCATTTTGCCAAACCATACCCAAGAAGTGAAACTCTATGGTATTATGTGCATATATAGATAGGGAATCCCTCGTGTTGTTATTAAATAGGCAAAAATAATCGATGAAATAAAATATATTTGGTACCGACCTCTTCATATTTGGCATCAAAGTGTCAAACATTGACACTTGCGGTGGTGAAATTTATTTACACAAAAAATAAACTTAACTATATTGATATTATTGGCTTAGGAGTCACGTCTTGATTCATAAAATGTGCTCATATATGTATATATATAGGGGTGGCTCTAATAGGACCCTTTCTTAAAATGAGGATGAGGATGTGAGGCCAATTCTAGCCATTGATTTTTGTGTAGATCAATGACTCATACTAATTAATTGGGATTTTTACTAATTATATAATAAATTAATAATATTATATTTAAATTAAGTATATAATAAATAAATAAATTGACCGGCGGCCGACGAAAAAAATCTCCCTAAAAGCAGATCCGGGTTGGTGACCCGAACCCTGTCCACCATGATGTCGACAGTTGTGGCGTTGTCCACCGCGACCGCCGCGGGTCGAGGGTTTTCTGCATCAGGGCAGAGTAGTTGGGCTGTAGGGTTTCGAGGAAGGAGGAAGTCAGGTTTTGGAGGTAGAAAAATGTGTGGCGTCGGTTTGGGATGACGTGGTATTTCAGGGTGCTGACATAGACGTTAGTGTCGGTGGCCATGTTGAGTGCATAGAGGAGCTCGTCGGTCAGAGTGAACGGTGAAGCCGACTCTCCGATGGAGGTGCGTTGGTGATGGTGGTGAGGAGCTGAAATTTGAGGTCGAAGGTAGTGATGGCGTTGGTGGAAAGTGCGTAAGTGTCGCGTATGAGGGTTTCGAGCATCGTCTCGGGTTCTTGGTACGGACTGTTGTTGTTGAGGCCGGTGGCGACTATGAGTAGTAGGAGGAGGAAGATGGAATTGGTGGAGGATTGGGCTGAAAACCAGAATTTGGAGGCCGGGAACTTGTGTTTGGAAATTAGACAAATTTTGCGTATTTAGTTGCAATTTCAAAAATTTATGAGTTATTGCAGTCACTCTGGCTCTTGTTTTTTATTATATAAGTAATGCATATTTAGTGATGCAGAATAAATATAAGTATTATTATTATTATTATTATTATTATTATTATTATTATTATTTAATAATTAGTAGTAGTTTAGTGAATAAGCTATGTTTAGTTTGTGGGGTTTATTTAAAGAATTCTTCTGCTGTGTGACGAGTAGTTGACGAGTAGTTGATTATGAATAAAAATATGAATTGATTATGAGTTATCGAGAGAGTATCTCGTTTATCTTTCCCACTCGTACGCTTCCGTACTTCAGTTGATGCAGCATAAATATAAGTATATTATTATTATTATTATTATTATTATTATTATTATTATTATTATTATTATTATTATTATTATTATTATTATTTAATAATTAGTAGTAGCTTAGTGAAAAAGCTAGGTTTAGTTTGTGGGGTTTATTTAAAGAATTCTTCTGCTGTGTGACGAGTAGTTGATTATGAATAAGAATATGAATTGATTGTGAGTTATCGAGAGAATATCTCGTTTATCTTTCCCACTCGTATGCTTCCCTACATCAGTTGGTATCAGCAGTCATCAGTCAGTACGATTCGCGATGTCGCCGGTACAACAAGATGCCGCAGACGAACGACGTGACGCAACCTTCAACGATCGGTTTCAACAGATCGACTACCGATTTGAACAATTGAACATGCGTTTCACGGATTAGTTTGCCGATCTTTCGCTGGGATCGAGGATTTGCATTTGACGCTTAACAACATGGTTGTTTCGGAATTGCAAACGAACCGCGATGGGGCTGTGGGCCGTGACTTTCGCGGGGAAGACAGAGGATGCTGTGGGGGACGCAGCCATGTCGGGGCGCCATGGCAGCGGTCCCCGCCACCTCTGAACGGCATCACGGATGGCGACTTTACCCGGTCGGCTATCCAGTTGACAGATCGACCACCATGGCGAGGACAAGAAACCCCTGGTCAGCCCCGAGTTCGCCAGAAGCGGCGGACTGGAGGTAGTTTCGTACATGGCGGCGACCGCGACGACGAGGACACTCGAGGTGCGGTCCGATTTCGCATCCAACGAGGGCCTGAGGAGGGTTTTCATTACCAATTTTCGCCCAATCGCATAACCCTAGTCGGCTATTTTCGGCGAACTGCTGTAGGCAGAGGGTCACGCAGAGCCCTTAATGGTGATTCCTGTCGGGCTATAGAAGGTGAGGGGGGCGCGCGACGGTGGCGCAGGAGGGTCATCGAATCGCTGTCGACGGCGGCGGCTCCCTTAGCCGCGAGCCGCGCTGGGACGCTGAGGGTTTTGCCACGGCCGGCGAGCGCGATTGGAGGCAGAATGCGATAGGTTTTCGCGACCGGTGGCGCAGTGCTGTAGGTGACGGCGGTCGAGATGCGCGGCGAGGCAGCGAGAACCAGGCTGGATTCAGAGGTGCTACATTTTTGGGATTCGACATAGGTAGGATACAGATACAAAGGGCTTGTGAAGGAGGCGAATTTGATATTAATTTTGGGCCTGAGAAGAAGCAGTTCGAAAGCCTTTTTAGGGCCTGTGAAGTAGCTGCAGAATTTGGGCCTATGCTTGGGGATTTTGGTTGCGAATTTGGTCAATGGGTGGGCTCATTTCGCACTGATATCCCCGAATTTGACGAGGAGCACGTTGACGGGCCATTATACGACGATCCACCAATTTTTGATGAGGAGCCTCCGATGACGAAGACATATTTTTGCCGCAGTATGGGCTCTGCGTGGGACGTCGCAATGGTTGAGTCTTCGAATGGGCAGCCGTCATTCACACCCGATTTTTTGGATATTTTGGCCAAAGATGGTTTTTGGGAGCCGAGGTCGAGACTCCATAAATGGTGGGCCATTTTTCGATTGTTGTTCCCGAAGTCTCCTAACACCGGGATGTTTGGTCGTAGTTATAGATTTGAGCGTGGCGAACATTGTGGTATGTTTGGCGTTACTTCCGTTGTGTCTTTTGTGGGTTATGCGTATGGAGGCGTGTACATGTGCCTTTGCAACAGATCAATCCTTGCCCAAGATTAGATTTACCTTCGGGGTTGTTGGACGACTTTCAACCTTCGTGTTCGATCGGGGGAAACGTTCGGGCTATTCTTGTCTTTAGGACGTCTCCAACGGGAACTGGTCGGATTCGAGGGCGAATCCTGCTCAACCGAGGGAGAATGATGCAGAATAAATATAAGTATATTATTATTATTATTATTATTATTATTATTTAATAATTAATAGTAGCTTAGTGAATAAGCTAGGTTTAGTTTGTGGGATTTATTTAAAGAATTCTTCTGCTGTGTGACGAGTAGTTGATTATGAATAAGAATATGAATTGATTGTGAGTTATCGAGAGAGTATCTCGTTTATCTTTCCCACTCGTACGCTTCCTACATCATTTAGTTTATTTATTATGCATATTTAGTTCATACATAATAATATAGATAATAGACAGTGCATATTTTGTTCATTAACAATGCAGTTTAGTTAAAAAAAATGCATTTTTAATTCATGTATAATGCATACTTACTTTAGAACATAAAGACAATAACTGCACATAAAGACAAATAACTGCAGTAAGGATTTAAGATATTGCTGTCAATTGCATTTATCTTATACATAATGTATATTTAGTTCATGAATAATGCATACTTAGTTGATATCTATTGCATATCACCGTTGCACATTTAGTTTATGAAAAATGCATATTTAATTTTGTATGCATATTTAGTTCTTATCGAGTACATGCATGTTCGAGTGCACATTTATTTCATACGCACTGCATATTTAGTTTACTGTCAATTTAATATTTAAAAAATATTAAATCTAAGTCACACATTTTGTTCTGTGTTTAATGGCTAACATTGGGCCTCACAAGCGAAAATGAATAAACTTTGACAATAGTAGTAACTCTGACTCAAGTATAGCAATTGAAGGAAGTTAAAGGATTAATAAAGGTCATGTGATACCTTGTGGACCTATGTAGATACTTGTGGCAGGGTCTTGTGTATAATAGATGGGCTAGAGTTTTAGAGAAAGACCCTCATTCTTGAACATTCTAGAATTTCCGAGACCATTCGTATAGAGATTGAGGAGCTTTCAGGACCTTCCATTTGAGGTGGAAGGATTTGTAGATCAGTTGTTTTACTTTAGTCGAGTACGGAAAGATTCCGACCTCGGGTTGTGTTTCCTCGCACTGTTCGAAATTAAATTCAAGCAATGATCATCACGAAAAACGAAAATAAAATGTAAACACTCTATTCGCGAAGTTGGTTGGTTAAATTAAACTAAATCAAGCATTCAAACTTAATTGAAAGCAAGGAAGTCAACGGAAGCGCAATAAAAGAAAAATAAAAAGAAAACTAAGTACCACAAGACTTGAAAATGGGTAGAGTAGGCACCAATAAGACTGACGAGTTATGACAAATAGACTGCATATTATTGATGATGATTTATCTACTTTTATTATTAGTTTTTGCTTGTATGATTGAAGAACTGAAGAAAGGTAGGCACTAGGCACCAATAAGACTGATGAGTTGTGACTACTATATTATTGATGATGATTTATGTACATTTATTATTAGTTTGTTTTGTGAGTGAAGAAGTTGAAGAAATCTTTTATTGTGGCCACTTGGATAATCAAGAATCAGTATTTCAAAATCAGTTAGACAGCAAGCCGAAAAGCTAAACCAACATTCAGCGGAAAACTAGAAATAAAACAAGCTTGTAGTAGTAACTTGAAATTCTGATGCCTCCTTTTACATATGTTTTTATTATTTTTAGAAAATAAAATGATTGTGAATTTTGAATAGGTTGTTCCTTCTGGGGCTGGACAAATACGGGAAAGGCGATTGGCGGAGCATTTCGCGCAACTTTGTGGTGACACGAACCCCAACCCAAGTGGCGAGTCATGCCCAGAAATACTTCATTCGTCTCAACTCTATGAACAAGGATCGCAGGCGGTCGAGCATCCATGACATCACCAATGTGAGCAGTGGTGAGGTGTCGGTGGGCCAGGGGGGCCCAATTACGGGCCAGCCCAGTGGCACCAAGCCCAACAAGCCTCCAGCCCCAGCCCCAGCTATTGGGCAGCCCATTGGGGTCTCTGCAGTTGGCACGCCCGTCAACCTCCCCCAGCCCATTGGGTATGGGCCAGTTGTCCCAGGCGCTCCCTTGACTATGGGCCCGATCACGTACCCTGTGCCGCACTCCAGGTGAGGATTTCGAAACTGAACAGGGTTTTTTTGTGGATGTATCGAACATTATTTTCGTGTCTAATTTGGAATAAGCTTAGGATAAAAACTTCATCCCGTATGTATGTGTATAGGCGAAGTCGTGTTGTATTCTGAGTTTATACACATTTTTCTCCTTGTGGGTAGTCAAGATAATTAGTAGGGCCTGGGCCTGGGCCTGGGTTATCAAGTCTCGGTGTAAGACCTTTGTGGTGCAGATTTGTAATGTACCTTTGTTCAATGGAAGCTCATTTTTAAAGCTATATGCTCCCCTTATTGATAATATTCCTTGCCATTATTTTTCTTATTTTTTAGTGCTAGCAAATATTTTCGGTAGATCCATTAACAGGTAGACGAATGATTTTTTCTATTATATATATATATATATATATATATATGAATGAGTTTAAATGAGAATGGTGCTTGGTGAATGAATTAATAATAAATCGTAACCACCATCAAATCTGATAAATCTAAAATGGTAGAAAAAATCAGTTTTTTTACACTTTTTTGTTTAAAACGATAGATTTATTAACGCAAACACGTAATTATAAACAGCTAAATAGTCGAAATAGGATGTCTACTCGAGGTGGCCTAAATAGCACAACACAATACTAAAGAAAATAAAAAGTTCCCACATGTGGTGAATACACTCCCAAGAAGGAGAATACACACTACTATAAAGGATAATAATAAAACGACATACATACACACTCTCAAAGAGAATAATAATAATACGAAAGACACATGCACACACAACAAAACTAATAAATAACTAAACTAAAGCCCTCATCGACAATCGACAAACAACACCACAGGTAACCACGCCACCAACCAACGAGTGCTACCACCTCCAAGGACAAAGACTCGGTCCACGACGTCAAATCTGAAACTGCAGTAAAACGCCTAACAAGTCCCAACCCCCATACCCCAAGCCTCTAACAGGTAGGCAACCTTCGATACAACAGAAATTAGCCCCAAAACACGAACCCTACACTACTCAGCAGCCGGAGGTCGACAAACCCCTGGACCCAACGACCCACATCTCCAGCGGAGCCCATCGCTCAACTCCAGGGTGACAGGAAAACCAGGGGAGAGTCGAGCACCACTTTAGCCCTAAAATCCAGCCCCCTCATCAACCACTGACAACTCAAGCCGCCACGCCCATCGGAGCTGCGACCCCCACCACCGAGAGGGACCTACCCCCAACACTAGGGGAAACATGAGAAAAGGGAAAAGAGAGGGCCAACCTTGGCTCCGACCACCGCTAGATGGCAATCGGAGTAAAGCAGCCCAACCACGTCATCTAAAAGCCGAAGAGCCGGGCGCCAACCAACTCATTAAGAGTAATTTAGACATTATTCAATTCCCAACACCAATNTTATTTTCAATATTCGCGCCTCTGTATCAGTAGGCCTACAAAAGAACAAAATCATGAGATACTCCCACACACACACACACACATAGAGAGAGAGAGAGAGAACATGCAGACTGATCCTCTTCTTGATTTCGCCGGCCTCTTTGTCCGACCGACTTCTAAACCAGAGTAGCTCAGGCACCGCCACAACTCCGCCTAGATCCATCCACGCTACTGCATTTTCCAGTCACTGTATTGCACAACTCCGACTTTTTGTATTTTGATGACCTTCTCCTTTATTATATTGCTTTCCGTGCAAATGCACGAGTTGAAACTAGTAATATATAACTTTAACAAATGACATTTGACAAAACTCCAAAAGTAGTCATTCAAACTAAAGATGAGAAAAAGGGTAGAGATCATGTGGGGCAGATAAATATACTTATAGACGTAGTGTCATGCCCACATAACAGATTCAACGTGGAAATCATAACTTTAGCAATGCTGACCAAAAATAATGTTTTATACACAAATATAGAAAGCCTTTACACGTTGGGATAAAGCTTTAGTACTAAACATTTACATGTGGGAAGACTATGGCTTTTCACTTTGCTTCTACTGCTAAGAAACAGTTTTATTAATATAAAGAAATGCAAATGACAAAATATTTAAGGTTACACAAAGCACTGCATGAAATTCAATTTATTTTACATTTTAATATTATTTTTCCTTGAAACCATATCTGTTAACATAATAAATCAGTATATGTATTGAACCAACTCGTTTCACCATAAATATAAACANGGCATCTAAACATTTTAAATTGCATACAAAATAGTATATATTTTCTCTCATCATCGGAAGTTGGTTGCGGTTCGTCAGTCGTCACAAAGGAAATATGAAAGCACAATGAATATAAAAAATAAAAATAAAGAGTAATGCCACACATGCATATACAGTCAGGATGACTTAAAAAAAAAAAAATTGATTGTGAAAAACAGAGCAAATTACAATTGAATGATTTGCAAACCATCCACCACCGGACCACCCTAACTTTTTATCACAATATTAAATATATACCAACTACTAAATTACAAACGAAATTTCTAATACTAAAGCTCTTATCTTAACAACATATAATAAGTGTCAAAGAAGGGTAAGTAGATAATCTTTAGATTATGATAAAACCATCAACTTTGTGGTTGCAAATATAAAAAAGATGAATGATTCAAAAAAGATGTTGTAAAGCTGATGTTAAGTTTTTTATGACCCAAAGCTGAGTCATGCAACTGAAAAAGTGAACCCCAAACATCCCTTTCTTTTCCCATATAAATATATGCATTTGTCTAAGCAGTTTGGAGACCAACACAGAACATTTGTGGTTGACAGCATTTCATTTCATTTCACTTCATTTTTATGCAACAAAAAGAAGCAAGTAAAATGGATAAGATAAGCAGCAAATCAACAAGTGTGAAGACGAACAGCAAGCATATTACACATGCTATTGAGATGTCATCAGAATATAAAATTTGCTTTAGAAGCTCTCCAAAAGCAGTTTTACCAGGCCAAGCTGCTCAATATCAACTTATGCAATCTCCATCAAAACGTTATTCCAAGATTAGACACAGTAAGCCCACTATCCGAAAAAAGCTTTCTGATTAATGAAAATAGTGTCAAACTTTGATATTTTTGGTTTGAATGCAGGTGGAGTGAATTCTGTGATTGCTAAGATGATCAAACTCGGTGAATGCGTTGATAGTTTTTCTAAAGGAATCCGGGAGCATGGTAAGAATTTGTTAAAAGGTTTTTGAGTTGTATTTAAAAAATCTCAATTCATACTCAAAATCTAACTCAATTTTAACTCAACTTCACTATTCTCAATTTTATACAATATAATTAAATATTACAAACCAATCATTCTTACACATCCCATAATTCATCTACTCACATAATTCTCAAGTAACCATCACTTCGCATCATCTCTCTCATACTTTTACATCAAATTAATCAATTTTAATTATTTTATTTTAATATTATTTCAATAGAAAATAAAAATCTCAATAACAACTAATTATACTACTTTTTTCAAAATTAACTCCAGTTAACCAAAAAAATTCACTTTGAGCGGATATTTTTATATACAAACATGCTAACATTTTGGCAATATATATTGTTATGCAGTGAAACTAAGTCCCAAGTTAAGTGAGACAGTGAAAGGAAAATTAAGCTTGGGGGCAAGAATCCTTCAGGTTGGTGGAGTAGATAAAGTGTTCAAGCAGAAATTCAACATTAGAGATAAAAATAATGAGGAAACACTTTTAAAGGCTTCTCAGTGTTATTTATGGACAACAGCAGGGCCAATAGCAGGACTACTATTTATATCCAATAACAGAATTGCATTTTGCAGTGAGAGATCCATCAAAGTCTCATCCCCAACAATTGGGAAGCTTGTAAAAGTACATTACAAGGTTATGATTCCACTCAGAAATATAGACACAGCTATTGAAGCTCAGAGTGCCAAAAAAACAACAACACATAAGTATTTGAAGATAGTGACAGAGGACAATTTCGAATTCTGGTTCATGGGCTTTTTCAACCTTCACAAAACTTTGAACTGTCTCCACCAGGCAATCCATCAATCCAGATGAGACTTTCTCGAATTTTTTAGACTTCTCAAGATATATATTTATATTTTCAATTTGTTTTGTTTTGTCCAATGTCAAATATATAGATAAGCTAGCTAAACTATATGTACTTTGTATAAATCTGTAACAAAACTCGGAGGCCTATGATGTTGTAATTATTGTTACCATGTTGTTTTAGAGGACTTCAATTCTGCAAATATTACCAATATAAAATGGAATGCTAACTCTGGGGAACTTTTTCACTTGTATCAACGACTCTAGCTCTCAGGGCAAATCTATCCTCATAACTATGACTTATACGACACAAAATGTTAAAATCCATCAACTTAATTAAGTTGTGTTTTTAACGAAACTAACAACTGATTGTTAACCAGATTCACCATATAGATTTTGAAACCCAATTGTTCAAACATATCAGAGAAGCACAAATAAGCACAGAGCAGATTGTTCTTACTAGATAAATTCGGCTTTGGTAGTTATGATCCCCCAACACATATGCAGACAAGAANACAAAGAAGCCCTTTATTCTAACTGAAATCAATATACAATAAATCATAGGCATCAACATCAACGATGACAATGAAATTTTGAACATACTTCTTGAGAAACAAAAGCAAACTTAGTTTTAATTGGCCTTGCACACCGCCTTCCTAACTTATAGCAGTAGAAATCATAAAAATTAATTTTTAGAATTAGTAGAACACTACATATCTATTAGAGCACCAACAATGTTTTGGATTTCTTTATGAGAATATTCACTTGTGAGATGTCCCACATCGTTTATATAGGAAAAATAGGCCTGATTTATAAGTTTAATGGGCTACTCCTCTTTCTACCAATTGGTTTTGGGATGAAACCTCACTTGGGCTTCATCTGGGCTTTTCCCTGTTATGGTGCGCTTCACGTGCGTGGGAACGTACCCATTTACCCAGCCTGCACCCAGCTCCGTATATGGGCAGCGTGGGAACGTACCCGTTTACCCAGCCTGCACCCAGCTCCGTATATGGGCTTGGGCTTCTTATGAAGGATGGGCTTGTCCTTCTTATGAAGGACTCAAAGTGAGGGGGAGTATTAGAATTTTGAGGAAATTGCACCCCATACTAAGACATTTAAATTATATTACACTTTTCCACCCCTTATATACTTATTTTTAAAATTACCTAAAGAAGCTACAAATATTTTCAATTATACTAGAATTTAAATTTTAGTAACTTATCCTTTAATTAGGAAAGAAGGATCACATGGGATTTTATTCTGTCCAACCTATTCTCACTCATCCTCTCCAGCAAACAAAGGCAACAATCCAATCACGTAGATATTATCATGGCCGATCATAAATCTTTCGATTTTTCTTTTTCATCGCAATCGATCATGGCCGAAGCAGATTCCAACCCTCATTGCTGGTATGAAATCAACACGAATTCTCTGCAATTTATTTGAATCTGAAAATATGTGATATGTATTTTATTATATTTTAAATTGATTTTGTGTCTATGCAGGTGAAAGGCGACGATGAGGAGCAGAGTCTCAAGTACCTGGAGTTCGTGCAGGCCGCGGCCCTCCACACGGTAATGTTCGCTGCGAGGCTGTACGATTACGCCAAGGAGAGATCGGGCCCGCTCAAGCCCGGCGTTGACGACAAGTATCACGGCGTCCTAAGTTCAACCCGATCTGAATTTACAGAGGATTATAATTGCTTCAAAATCGATGAGGTTCTGCAAATAGTTATCTAACACCATGTTAAACATGATGACTCATCAATTTACTTTATATTTGTTTTTATTTTTTATTTTTTTTTTTGTATCAATGAATTATTTAATTGGTCCACCTATACAAATAACTTCTTATCAAATTGATGCATTGGAGATACTAGTTCCTTTGAAATTTCTAGTCTTTTAACATTATTCCAGTGTGGATTAACATTACAATTACTAATTGACATGTGTTAAAAATAATGGTCTTTCACACTTATAGCATTGGAGATGCTCTAAGGAAGGGAATTAAAGAGATGGAAAGAAAACAAACTCCTTCCTTAATTTTTGGTGGATTAAGCGTGCGATAAGGTATGCTAATCAGCTCCAAAGGCTGTCTAATTCTCACAATAATAATGCCACAAGTGCTTGAAGGAATTATTTGATTTTTAAATAAAATTTGTACTAAAGAAAAAGAAAATTTGCAAGTGCTAATTGACCACAAGGCCGGATAAAATAAGGTCATAATGACGGGAAAAATATTTCTAATGGATGGTACATTCAGCTCTTAAAAGTTGATAATAAACCCAAAAAGGCATACCAAAAATGGTTGGAATTTTATTTGAATTTATCAAATAAAATGATGCCATATAAATAATTATATGGGTGCTTCTACTATTTACAAATGGCCGGAAAAGAATAAGCTTAATGGGGCTGAAAATATTGCTAAAAGTTGGTCTCGATAATTGCTAAGAAGTCGAGAAATATAAAAACCGATGGTACCGAAAACGGGTAGAAAATATCGGCTACCGGAACATTAAATAATTACCCCGACAATATATACATATATATCTCACACATATATATAATTCAAGAAATAACATTACTCTGGCATTTAAATAAAATAAATAATATTTATGCCAATAAAAATATTCAAAAAAATCTAATAATCGAACGGGGCATTACATTGGGCCATCATCTGTTTGAGGATTAGATCAAATTTCTCGTTGAATGCGACCTCTTCTTCTCGAGCTGCTATAAAGGTAAGAATACGGTCGAGCTTTTCATTATGCTCTGAGGATCGCTTCTGAAATTCATAGGTCTGCTCAACCAGTGCCAAATTCCATTGCTGCTCATAAGAGTACGAAGATGGTTGGTTGCAGTGCTCGGAGTGATAGCTCGGCCCGTTGTTCCAAGATTGAATGTGCGGGAAGGGGAACACACGGTTTCGGTACATTGCGCTTCCTCAGTCAAATCTCTGCACACAAGAACCAAAACAACCATGCGTAGCCACGAAAAGAAAGAAAAAAGAGGACAAAAGAAAAAACAAAGAGAAAAACAAAGATGCAGAGAAAGAACTAAAACACAAATAAAACACAAAATAAAGAGAAACACAGAAAATAAAATCAACACCAAAACTAAATATCCTACTTGCCTTCCCCGGCAACGGCGCCAATTTTGTTGTAGCAAAATATATTTTTACCGAGTACCGAATCGAAAGATTCGTTCCCCGGATCAATCTCTCGAGGAAGGCGGTTCAGAATCTAGGAATGGTGTTGATAACACATACAAGAAAATTAAATCCTAAACACTCTAATCAAGATAGTGGTTTTTAATTATCAAGTACGAAATAGAATTCAAACAATACAAAATCGAATTAAAAAGCTAAGACGAAGATCAAATGATGATAAGAAGCTAAGGAGTCGGGGATGATGATTTTCTAACCAATGCAAATATCAACCTAAGAACATGCGTTTAAATGATTTGAACAACCTGACGTCTAGCGATAGTCCTCAATAACTCTTCGTAACAAGAGGGTATCATAGACGGTAAATCACGCAAATCACACAACACAGAGACAATACGTTTCCGAATAAGTCTATTTCATGCGAGCCTAGATCGATCAACTCCTCCCCTTTCGGTTCTAAGAGTTGATTGATTATACTAGACGATTGTTAATCTACTAGTTCGTTGGATTTAAACACATCACAAAAGAACGAATCATATTGAAATGGAAATCAATTGCTAATCGAAGTGTCACTCTTCGACAATATTCAACATTCAATGTACGATAATTATAAACCTAGTTAAGCACAACTCGCATAAATTGAACGATCAACAAGCATGATAATCACAATTAAATTCTAAACATCACCATCATCCCCTATCCCTAATGAAACGAATTAGCTACTCATATGGAATTCAACATAAGCATTCTTCTCAACCCAAGCATTCATATTCAAGAATAAGATGAAAAGAATAACTTATGATTAATAGAGAAACGACAGTCAAATCCGATGAACAACTTAATCTAGAAAAGTAGAGAGAATTGGGCAAAAGAACGACCAAAATCCAAGTTTTTAGAGTAGGAGAAAGTGAAAAAAAATAATATTGGGGCTTGTTTCCACGAGTCTAAGGATCGTTTTGATATATAGTGCTCGAAAAACGGAGCTAAAACGAGTAAAAACGGAGAAAAATAAAAACAGGGTCGACCTAGTCGCGACTCGCGAGTCAGCAGGGTCACAGGGGCGGGGCGTCTCTGTCATTTTCGCGAGGCGCGACATGGACAGTCGCGAGGCACGCGTTGCTGCTGGGCGAGGGGCTGGTCGCGGGTCGCGGGTCGCGACCCGAGCTGCACTGCGCTACTTTACGTTTTGGCTTCGTTTGGGCTCGTCCGAACTCGGAATTGAGTTCCGTTTTTTCTTATGTGTAGCTAAAGAACCCATCTATCCAATTATGCTCTCGAAACCAATTTTTCCTGAAGATAAAGTTCGTCCGAAGCTCCCGACCTACACACCAAAGACGACAAAACACAAAAAAGACCAAAACAAACGAAAAACATCTAAAGACTCAAAATGAACGAAAACACATATTAAAACATGAAATGGACTAAAAACGAAAAAAATACCTAAAACGAGAGAAAAGAAAGAAAAAATAAACACGAAAAATGCAACAAAAATGCAACAAACACTTAGGATCCCTATTGTGACCTATAAATACATCACATCTCTTGGGATTAGGAGTGCAAGACCTCATTCACGTGAGATACGCTAGAAACACGCCACCTCTTGTGTTTTCTCTCTCTTGTGTTCTTTTTTTCTTCTCCAAGTAATCCCAGTAGAGATACCTTCGATCTATCACCCACCAAGATGATCGGATGAGATGTCGGGTTATACAACAAAAGATCTGAGGTTGTCGAGCAATCTATATATATTTGTCTATATATATATATATTCAACCCCGTAATTTATCTGTAATTCGCGGTGTTGTCTGTTCTTCACGAAAAAATATAATTGTGCAAATCGGATGCATTGGGAGTGACCGACGGCCATCCCAGGACGACCGGCGTGACTCCGGCGACCAGCCGCTGCCAGACGCTGCCGTGATGGAGACCCACGCGCCACCACAGTCCGACTGGCAGATTTCATGCGCAACCCATCCTGTTGGTCAGACATGCAGCCCAGGCGTCCAGACTGCCCAGCATGTGGCAGCCTATGTCCACGGCCCACACGTAAGGAGTATCCTTGTACAATGCCGCGCAGTCCAGCATGGGAGGAAGCCTGAAGCGCAAAGCCCAACCGGTTGCGCAGCCCAATACGCGCAAGGCCCGTTTGGAGGTAGCCAAAGGAAGAGAAGAAGGCGCGCGAGCTGTCCAGCCCGCGAAGCTTGATCTCCTCCCAGCTTTTGCCCCGCGTCCAACTCGATCCAGGCCCGCGCTCACCTGCCTTGGTCCAGCCCACTCCGCACGGCCCAATGGCGTTGCTCCGCAGCCCAGTGCACCTCCAGCGCGGCCCAACACACAGAGAGATGGCCCAGGACATCCTAAAGAGCCCAGAACGCACCAGCAGCGGCCCAGCTCGCACCAGGTGGTCCAGGGGTGGTCCAGCTGTAGTCGGGCACGTTCGTGGGGTTCCGGTGAGGTAACGGTGAGTCCAGGATGATCCGACTTGGACGGGGAACGATCCATTGAGTCTGGAAAAATTTAAAAAGGGTACGCTTTGAACCCTCGCTTCTAGTTCCGCTGCGCTTAGGGTTTAATTCGTAGATAGTCTGTGATTTATCCCACCAACATTTTCATTGAAACACCCCATTAATGCATAAAATATATGTGCAATCCCAATCAGCCATTTGCAGGTCAGTAAATTTCAAAGGACCCACATCGTCGCAGACAAGTTCATCAGTCGTTGGTTGCTCTTCATCAAACATAGGCGGCCCGTCATAGTCGGCGGCCCGTCATAGTCGGCGGCCCCGTAGTCCCCGTTCAAAAGCGCACGTGAAAAACGTAGCATAGGACAAGATGCTTGTCGACGCCCCAGTTTGCTACAGGAAAAACACCGCAAACCGCTCGCGGTTTAGCTGCCATTCCCCGGTGCTGGTATCCCTATGCGGCTGGAACCTGCCGCAGCCGGCGTAGATGAGATATAATTATTCATCTCTCATAGTCTAGTTAATATTATAACATTTAAAAATTAAGTATTTAAGTTTGACAATAAAAAACTATAAAAAAATTATATTATTTTTAGAATAAATAATGAGATATAATTATTCATCTCTCATAGTCTAGTTAATATTATAACATTTAAAAATTAAGTATTTAATTTATTATTGTACAATTAACATAAAATAATAATAAAATTATAAAAATAAAATAAAATCTAACCATTAATCAAAATTATAATAGATAATCTAATTTTTAAAGATAACACATGACTACTTTTATATTTATAATAAGTTATATATATAAGATTCAATTGTTACGGGTAAACGGGTAGGGTAATCAGGTCGGGTAATGGATTTTCCTACTATACCCGCACCCGACCCGGGATTCGGGTAGTATAATTCAACTCGAACCCGACCCAAAACTCAATCATCTCGAGTTTACTCGACTCGAAAATGCGGGTAACCACGGATAATCCGACCCTACGCTTTTATTGACATCCCTAATCCAAAATCAGACGTAATATAAAACAGGAGAATAATATAAAACTTTTACAAATGACATTTGACAAATCCCGAAGTAGACGTAGTGTCATTCAAACAAAAGATGAGAAAAAGGGTAGAGATCATGTGGGGCAGACAAATATCCTTATGGACGTAGTGTCATGCCCACATAACAGATTCAACGTGGAAATTATAACTTTAGCAATGCTGACCAAAAATACTGTTTTATCCACAAATATAGAAAGCCTTTACACGTCGGGATAAAGCTTTGGTATTAAACATTTACATGTGGGAAGACTATGGCTTTTCACTTTGCTTCCACTGCTAAGAAACAGTTTTATTAATATAAAGAAATGCAAATGACAAAATATTTAAGGTTACGCAAAGCACTGCATGAAATTCAATTTATTTTATATTTCAATATTATTTTTCCTTGAAACCATCTGTTAACATAATAAATAAATCAGTATATGTATTGAAACAGCTCGTTTCACCATATCCAAAATAAATTTAAACAAAAAAACAACAACACAAGATTACAAGCTTTGTGATCAATTCCATTCTTTTTTTATTTTTTATTGTGCATACATTTGATACATTGAACTCATAGTTTTTGCCATTGAATGTAGTCAAGTTGAGGCCATGTCAGCCTATGCAATTCGTTTCTCATTCTCAAAGGCATCTAAACATTTTAAATTGCATACAAAATAGTATATATTTTCTCTCATCATTAGAAGTTGGTTGAGGTTCGTGACAAAGGAAATATGAAAGCACATTTTATTTTTTATTTTTTAATAAAAAGAGTACTAATGCCACACATGCGTACAGTCAGGATGACTTAAAAAAAATACTAATTGTAAAAAACAGAGCTAATTACAATTGAATGATTCGACAAACTTCCACCACCCTAACTTTTATCACAATATTAATTATATACCAACTACTAAATTACAAACGAAATTTCTAATACTAAAGCTCTTTTCTTAACAATATATAGGAAAGTAAAAGAAGGGTAAGTAGATAATCGCATTCGCAACATCTTTGTGGTGCCTAAAGGCGCCACCATCAACTTGGTGGTTGCAAATATAAAAAAAGATGAATGATTCAAAAAAGATGTTGTAAAGCTGATGTTAAGTTTTTGATGACCCAAAGCTGAGTCATGCAACTGAAAAAGTGAACCCCAAACATCCCTTTCTTTTCCCATATAAATATATGCATTTTGTCTAAGCAGTTTGGAGACCAACACAGAACATTTGTGGTTGACAGCATTTCATTTCATTTCATTTCACTTCATTTTTATGCAACAAAAAGAAGCAAGTAAAATGGATCAGATAAACAGCAAATCAACAAGTGTGAAGACAAACAGCAAGCATATTACACATGCTATTGAGATGTCATCAGAATACAAAATTTGCTTTAGAAGCCCCCCAAAAGCAGTTTTACCTGCTCAATATCAACTTATGCAATCTCCATCAAAACGTTATTCCAAGATTAGACACAGTAAGTAAGCCCGCTATATATCCACAATTTCTAAAGCTTTCTGATTATTAGTGAAAAAAGTCTCAAACTTCGATATTTGGTTTCAATATGCAGGTGGAGTGAATTCTGTGATTGCTAAGATGATCAAACTCGGTGAATGTGTTGATAGTTTTTCTAAAGGAATCCGGGAGCATGGTAAGAACTTGTTAAAAGGTCTTTGAGTTGTATATAAAAAAATTTCAATTTATACTCAGAATTTAATTCAACTTTAACTCAACTCCACTATTCTCAATTTTATACAATATAATTAAATATTACAAACCAATCATTCTTACACATCCCATAATTCATCTACTCACATAATTTATTATTCATCTACTCACATAATTCTCAAGTAACCATCACTTCGCATCATCTCTCTCATACTTTTACATCAAATTAATCAACTTTAATTATTTTATTTTAATATTATTTCAATAGAAAATAAAAATCTCAATAACAACTAATTATACTACTTTTTTCAAAATTAACTCCAGTTAACCAAAAAAATTCACTTCGAGCGGATATTTTTATATACAAACATACTAACATTTTGGCAATATATATTGTTATGCAGTGAAACTAAGTCCCAAGTTAAGTGAGACAGTGAAAGGAAAATTAAGCTTGGGGGCAAGAATCCTTCAGGTTGGTGGAGTAGATAAAGTGTTCAAGCAGAAATTCAACATTAGAGATAAAAATAATGAGGAAACACTTTTAAAGGCTTCTCAGTGTTATTTATGGACAACAGCAGGGCCAATAGCAGGACTACTATTTATATCCAATAACAGAATTGCATTTTGCAGTGAGAGATCCATCAAAGTCTCATCCCCAACAATTGGGAAGCTTGTAAAAGTACATTACAAGGTTATGATTCCACTCAGAAAAATAGACACAGCTATTGAAGCTCAGAGTGCCAAAAAAACAACAACACATAAGTATTTGAAGATAGTGACAGAGGACAATTTCGAATTCTGGTTCATGGGCTTTTTCAACCTTCACAAAACTTTGAACTGTCTCCACCAGGCAATCCACCAATCCAGATGAGACTTTTTCCAAATATTTGGACTTCTCAAGATATATATTAATATTTTTCAATTTGTTTGTTTGTACAATGTCCAATATCTAGATAAGCTAGCTAAGCTATAAGTACTTTGTATAAATCTGTAACAAAACTCGGAGGCCTATGATGTTGTAATTATTGTTACCATGTTTTTTTAGAGGAAAATCCATTGCTTCAATTCTGCAAATATGTAATGCCCCATTTATTTGTGGATTATTTGAGAATCTTATTATTATTTTATTGTTATTATTATTGTTATTATTATTTTGTGATAATATTTATATTTATTTTTCTTGAATGCCATAATATTATTAATTGCCAAAATGTGATTAAAGTGCTAAATATTTAATTGTCAAATTATTTTTCGTAATTATTTTATTTTTATTAAATGTGAATAATGTGTATTAAAATATGTAAAATATATATTGTTCGGTTATTTATTATCGTGCGTTTGAATTCGTTATCGAGCCCGAAAATTTTCGTTGGAACCGAAATTGGGCCCGAGAATGTCCGTTTGAACCGAAATCATGCCCGTGAGTCGATTTATTGTCGCGAATCGACCCGCGAGCCAACCGAACCATGCGGCCAGCCCAAACCCGGTTTTCCTAGACCTATGCGTGTGATTTTCTTTCTTGCACGTCAAGACTTTAACCTAGGTTTTTCTTTATATGTTTGATACTCCTCTTGGCGTGAGAAGAAAATCCCGCAGCAATCACAAATCTCTCGTGAGATAACCAGATCAATCCCGCAGCTTCTCTCTCGCGCAGCTTTTGGGATTTTGTTCTTCAGTCCCGATATCATCATCCCTCTCTCTCTCTCGCGTTGTTTGTGTTGTGTGGCCGTCCCGATACCACCGATAGACTCATTGGCAGCGGAAGCTTGTCTTGAGCTCTTCTAACCGCTTGCAGCCCCTTCTCGAGCTACTGACTATGCTGCTCGTTCACAGGCCACACGGACCGCTCACTTTCGGGCCCGGGCTGGTTCACGTGTTCTCTTAAAGGGCCCGTTTCACTCCCGATTACACCTAAACGCAAACACACAGTTAATGGTTGTTAATAACAACAGTACTCGAGCTATTACACAAAGTAAAATGCTCAGGAAAGGAAATGAAAGAAAAAAAAGGAACGAAAGACTCCCTTTGTCCGGCGACTGGAGAAGAGGGACACGAAGTCGTCTCTCCCGGCTCAGATCGTCCTTCTTTCCGGCACCCTCGGTAAGTCGCGGCTCGGTGGTAACCAAGACCGGCAGCCCCGGTTCCTCGGCTCGTTCCCCGGGCTGCACCTCACACACGAGCCACGCACCCGGTCTCCCCGTCACCTAAGCTCACGTCTCAAACAGAGACTCGCCTCCGGCGATTAGAGCTCGACGACGGTGGCGACAGCACTATGGCGGCACTCCAACAGCACTCACGGCGACACTCACGGCGGCTCTCACAAGGGAAGTCACGAAGGGAACAGATTAGTGAGAGAGAGAGAGAGTGATCGGTTTTCTCACAGAGAGATGGGCGCAGCAGCTCAAGAGAGAGGAAAGTGAGAGTTCGGTTAGGGCAAATGTGAGAGAGGAGTATTTATGGTGTACAAAGGATGGCTGGAATTTAATCCCTAAATCCAACGGTCCAAAAGCATCCTGCCCTTTAAGTGTGAGAGAGGGCCAAGCCCAGTCGGGATTTGGGCCGAGATATCCTTGGTCCTGAGATAAGGATTTGGTTTTGGGCCAAATATCCTAACATTTCTCCATCGATTTGGCCCACCACCGAATACCGGACACCTTGAGGGACGGGAGGACTTTCATCATCGCCTAACGACACCTACACTTTTCACGAAGCTCGCACACGTATCAAACAGGCAGCAAACACAAAGTATACTACCCTAGCACACACATCACTTACAAGCACATCAATCACACGAATCAAAGTTCAAAGTTCTCATGCATGATCTAAATTTCTCAACAGGTAAACATTTAGTTCCCATATCAGCGGGGTTAAACTCGGATGCAATTTTTTCAAGATTAACTAAGCCTTTAGAAACAATGTCACGTGTGAAATGGAACCTAACGTCTATGTGCTTAGTGCGATCATGAAAAACAGGATTTTTACACAATTGAATCCCCGATTGGCTATCGGAAAACACAACAACATCTTTTTCAAGCAAACCAATTTCACATAATAGGCCCTTTAACCAAACAACCTCTTTCAAGGCCTCAGTAACACCCACATATTCAGATTCGGTCGTAGACAAAGCAACAATATGTTGTAGTTGTGATTTCCAACTTATACAAGAGCCACACAAAGTGAACACATAAGAAGTTGTTGATTTCCTATTATCTCTATCATTTGCATAATTCGAATCAACATAGCCAACAAGTTTAACACCCTCAGAACACTTAGAAAATTTTAGACCAACATGCATAGAACCATTCAAGTAACGTAACAACCACTTAAGAGCTTCCCAATGAGGCATACCCGGATTAGACATGTACCTACTTAAACAGCTAACAGCATAAGCAATATCCGGCCTAGTACTAACCATAAGGTACATCACCAAACCAATTGCATTTGAATAAGCCACATTTTTCATCAAATCAATTTCAGAATCGGTCTTGGGAGACTGATCCTTACTAAACACAAAATGGGCAGCAAGAGGGACATTCACGGACTTTGCGGACGACATAGAAAATTTACTCAAAATCTTCTCCACATAAGAAATTTGATTAAGAAAAATCACAGAGTTTTTCCTATCACGAATAATGTTCATGCCAAGAATCCTTTTAGCATCTCCAAGGTTTTTCATATCAAAATTATCACTAAGACATTTTTGAACATGCTCAATTGACTTAATGCAAGGACCGACCAGCAACATATCATCCACATAAATGAGCAGAAAAACAGGAACAACAACATTTTCTTTAAAGTACAAGCAATGATCATATGAAATCCTTTTAAACTTTAAAGAAAGCATGAACATATCAAATTTCTTGTTCCATTGCCTAGGAGATTGTTTCAAACCATACAAGGATTTCTTCAACAAACACACATAATCAGATTTCTTAGCATCCACAAAACCGACAGGTTGTTTCATATAAATTTTTTCATCCAATTCACCATGCAAGAAAGCAGTTTTAACATCCATTTGCTTCAATTCCCAATCAAAATGAGCAACTAATGCAAGCATGATACGCACAGTGGTGAATTTAACAATAGGAGAAAAAATCTCGGTATAATCAATACCCTCACGTTGAGTAAAGCCTTTTGCTACGAGTCTAGCCTTAAACCTAACAGAATCATTCTCTTGTTTAACCTTATACAACCATTTGCAATCCACTAAGGAACAATTATCAGGTTTAGGAACAAGAGACCAAGTATGATTCACGTGCAACGAATTAATTTCTTCACGCATAGCATTCATTCATTGCAAAGAATTCACAGATTTTAGGGCTTCCTCATAAGACTTAGGCTCACAATTATCAATTGACTCGAAAACACCAAAAGCATATGAAGTCATGTGAAAATCATCGAACTTAGAAGGTTTCTTACGTTCCCTTCTAGTCCTATCTCTAGCAAGTTGATAATCATGCAAATCAACATCATTTTCAGGCACGTTTTCCACATATTCATCATGCACATCGACATTTTCACCATTTTCAGTATGCTGATTTTCAGTTTCAGCAATAACAGGTTCATTTTCAGCAATTTCAGCAGGTAAATTGTCAAACACAGCACGTTCAGTTTCAATTTCAGCATGCAAATTTTCAGAATTTCCGAAATCACTTAAACCACTCAATTGCTCCACCGCATTTGGAGCATTTTCAGATTCATCAGGTAAAGGAGCAGGAGCAGGCAAAGAAGCATTTAAACATGGCATTTCAGATTCATTGAACACAACATCACGACTTATCACGACCTTAAAGCCGGGTACACTTCTAAGCCACAATCTATAACCTTTAACACCTTCAGGATATCCTAAGAAAAACACATTTCATTGAACGAGGTTCAAGTTTATCAAGTTTCATGTGACAAAATGCAGCACAACCGAAAACACGCAAGTTTGAAAAATCAATTTCTTTTCCAGACCAAACAAACTCAGGACACTTACCATTTAAAGGCACAGAGGGCGACCTATTTATCAAATATGCAGCAGTTAAAACGGCCTCACCCCAGAACATTTTTGAAAGACCCGAGCTAGATAACATACACCTCACCCTTTCAAGTAAAGTTCTATTCATCCGCTCGGCAACACCGTTTTGTTGAGGGGTGTAAGGCACGGTTTTATGCCTTTGAATACCGGATTGAGCACATAATTCATCAAACAAATTATTGCAAAATTAAAGCCCATTATCAGTCCTAAGAATTTTTATCTTTTTACCGGTTTGGTTTTCAATCAAGATTTGCCAAGTCTTAAACGTTTCAAACACATCAGACTTATTTTTCAAAAGGAACACAAAGACCTTTCTTGAAAAATTATCAATCACAGACAAGAAATACCTACTCCCACCATGTGTCGAAACACTAGCGGGACCCCAAACATCGGCATGCAAATATTCAAGAATTTCCGAACATATAGAGGTTTTAGGGGAAGGTGAAATAGGAAATTTAACACGTTGCTTGCCAAACACACAAGAATCACAAAACGGCACACATGATAATTTATCTTTACCAAAACAGCCCGCTTTATGCAAAATTTCAAGACCATGACTACTCATATGACCTAAACGTCTATGCCAAATATCGGTTTGGTCCTCATGAACAGCATTCACAGAAATTTCAGCATGTGATTCACAAGTAGCAGTGCAAACATACAAGTTTATCCTTTTTTCATCTTTGAAAATAACCAATGAACCTTTCATAATTTTCATAATCCCTTTACCCCATTTACCCTCTGACCCGTCATCCTCAAGGGCAGCACAAGATATCAAGTTATGGCACAAATCGGGAACATGACGAACATTTTTCAAACAAAGCACATAACCGGAATTAAACTTAAGGCACACATCACCAATACCAGCAACATCACAAAGTTTCTCATTTGCCATAGAAACAGAGCCATTTTTAACCTCTTTGTAGTTTGAAAACAAATTTCTAAATGGAGACATGTGAAAAGTGCAACCGGAATCAACAAGCCATTCATTTTCACAAAGATAGGAATGCATAGATTCACATCGGCATGCATATCACATATTTCAGTCACCACAAACACATCACCAAGATTATCACTACA